GAGCCCAGTGTCTGGTACGTCTAGTCAATAAAGATCAGAAATAGCCCTCTCCGCTAGGCATTCTACAAGTATAGTGGTAGAGTTGCATAAGTTTTGATAGAATTCCTCATAAAAAGATTACAAGCTTAAGATTCACCAGAATAGAAAGTAATTTATTAATGGCTTTATCTGTTTTCTACAATATTTACAATTTTGGTATTGGATCGGATTGGATGCTACGAAATAAAGGTTTATCTTACCCCGTTCTTTTTCTCAACTTCGGCCTCACTTCAACACGGGAATTAAGCACAATTGGCTCTAGATCAGCGGGGGCGTTTGGATCTGATGGAGTAAGAGTGAGAGCGTACCTTCCGCCATCTGTGCCCATGGCTTGGTCCACTGCCATGCAGAGCTCGCCCATTTTAGATCTAGTGATACGTCGACGACCATCATAGGCCAAACTGCGGCCGTTTTTAGTCCATGAAGCTGAATAGTAATGTTTGTTGGAAGTATGTTAACAAATATAGGATACACAACACATCGACAAGGCCCAACAATCATTAATTTGAGTTTTAAATGTAAACTTGCCCAGCATTTCTCTTAGAAAAACAGTCAGGGGAGTTGTTGTCAGATGAACGTAGAAAAATGCGATTTCCCAAACTTTGTTAACATATTTAAGTCATATATTTGTTTTCTACTTTGAAGCGAATTCGAATTTATACTTTGTACATCATCTGAATTTTGTTTAGACTGGTACATTTATACCCTGCTACACAAATTTTTATGAAAAATAGGCGGTTAAATCAAATTTGAAAACAACTGGCTCTCATCTCAGCACTGAATTTACTTATAAGTAGTTTAGCAAGCTAAAAGCAAATTAATAGCTAAACATACTTAAAGACATACTCGTACTGTAGATATTTATATACTAAAATTGAATGACTAGCTATGATTCTTAATTGGTTATATGAAAACCAAGATGTTGTGGCCTTTGGTGTGGTCGCAGTCTCCTTTTGATTGATAGAAGTGGGTTGACCTCGTTGTCGCAACTTGGTCTTGTTT